TCTTGTGCATCAGCCTCCCGAGTAGCTGGGACTACAGGCTCACACCACCACGCCAAGCTAATTTTTGTATTTTTAGAAGCGACGAGGTTTCACCATGTTGGCCAGGCTGGTCCAACTCCTGGCCTCAAGCATTCTGCCTGCCTCAGCCTCCTAAAGTGCATGAGCCACTGCACCCAGCCAATTATTTTTTTTCTGATCACAAAAGAAACACATTCAAGGTGAAAATGCAAACATCACAGAAATACAAAACTTACAAAGTCTCTCCAGTAATAACTGCTATTAACAGTTTGATGTTAAAATCTTCTTCCAGATTTTTCTCTATGAATATGATCATGTATCATCTTCATAAATAGAATTGTATTACACAGGCTGTTCTGAAACTTGCTTCTATTTATCGTGATGTCGGGGACTTCTTTCTGTACCTCAGCGCATTCGTGCTTCGTTGATCTTACGCAGCCTCATTCTTTATGCCAGTGGTGCTGGGTCTTTGGAGCTCTGAGCCCCTTTGGGTGTTCCATGAATGACAAATGTACACAGGCAGATCCCACAAACATATGACTCTGAGTGTTACAGACTTCCCGAGGCTGATCTACTACTGACCCCTGCACCCCGTGCATGGGGTGGAGATAGGGGTGTGGTGAAGGGGGAAGATGGGGATCACTGAAATGGGTCCAGGAGGGTGGGGAGGACTATGTGGGTCATTTTACTATTGATAGGGAGACCCATGCCTGGGGAGCCTCAGTCAAAGGGGTCCTGGGTCACTGCCTCCATTGTGAGACTCTCTGACTCCCCTGAGGACCCACCCCTGGGCTCCTCCTCAGGCTGGGGGTTCCTCTCCTAGCATCCTCACCAAGATCACCTGACTCCAGCAGCTGCCAACCCCCTGGGCAACGCCAAAGCCTCCTGGCCTCAAACGGGTTGGGTGACATTCACTTCCTTGCGCTGTCCTCCCAACCTGCTCTGTCATTAGGAATTGCCTCGGCAGCAGCAGTCACACTAACAGCAACAGGAGGAGATCGTGCTGCTGCCCCGCACCTCGGGGTGGCTCAGATCTGCTGGAGGCCCCAGGTGGGAAGGTGGATGCTGCTCTCTCTGGTCCCAGCCAAAGTGAGTCTAGGGGCCTGGCTGTGGTGGGGAAGGAGCTTGGCAATGTTCTGGGCTGACGCTGGAAGGATGCAAGAGAATGAGAGAGAGAGAGAGAGAAACAGAAAGCGAGATAGAGAAGAGACACCTGTGGGTGGGGAAGTAGTCACAGCTAAAGCTATAGGAGCTTGCACTGGGGCTCCAGGAGGGAATCCCAGGTGCCTGGAAGTGTCACTGTCTCACAGGTACCTTTGCTGGGGTTGGGGATCAGGGGTGTTTCTGTGGGCTGAGGACACCTGTCCCCCTCACCTTGTCCTTGAGATGGGCTACCTCTGTGGGGAGGCTCAGTACTGGGGTTCCCGAGGTCAGCTCCCTTGGTCCAGCCATTGCCTTCCCCCTGCCTCACAGGTGGCCAGAGGGGCATCCTTGTTTAGGGTCACTCTGAGGAAGGACGTCAGGGTAGTCACTTCTCTATCAGTGCTATTTCTTCTACTCCTTTGACCAAAGTCTGGAATGTCCCCCATGGAGGCGCTGCCAAACTAGCTATGTGACTTTGAACAAGCTCCTTAAGCTCTGAGCCTCAGTTCCCTTATCCATGAAATGGAGATAATACCTACCTCCCAGACTGTTGTCAGGATCAAATGAGGAAGGGATGAAAAATGCCAAGCACATAATTAGGATTCAATAAATGGTCGCTGTTGTCATTATTTATGATTAGCTCAACACTGGTCCCACTTCACCTAGGAAGACTTTCCAGCCCTCCTCTCCCCTCAGTCTCCTAAGGCACCAGTGGGGATGCTCTTGGTACTTACTGCTGTTACGGAATACGTTTTTTGTGCTCAAACTAGAGTATGTTTCTTGCATTTCTTCTGTTACCCTCTCCTTCACCCCAGCACCCAAGACAGAATCAGGCCATAAGAGGAACTCAAGGATGGAGAATGCAATGGGATTCCGAAAGGGAGAGAGGCAAAGAGGCAGGGAGGGGTTAGGGAAAGACTGAGAAAGGGAGGCAAGAAGGTGGGGGAGGAGGTAGCATTGTCCAGGTGTGAATGATGTGGCTCTCTCGAAGCTCGAGAAAGGGGAAAGATTGCCCAGAGAGGCCATCCTTGGGGCGTGGGATATCTTCTGTACTCCCTGGGTCCTTTCTACTTTCCTATAACTCAGATGAAAGGTAGAGGCTCTCCTCCTTCCCTGCTTGTTTCAAGCAGGACTGTGTTTCCTGACTTGGCTAATATCTACTCACCCAACCTATCAGCTGATTCTAACAATGTTCTACCATCTACAGAATCTTCTCTGTTAACTCCCTGTCTGTCACCTTCACCAGTGACCTCAGGCAAGTCACTTCCCTCTCTCTAGACCTGGATCTGCTCATCTCTGAAACGAGGAGTTTCAACTAAGTGATCTCTAAAGTCCTTTTTTTCCCTCTAATATTTCTTATTTGCTCTTCTCTTGTCAGCCTTGATCTCTACTTCTTAGTTATTCAAACAACTTAAACCATTGATCATCAATCCTTCTTTCAAAAAAAAAATCTTAAGAAAATTTATAAATGTCCACTAGGCTCTGAAGTTTTATAGGAACTTCCTTGACCACTCCTTATCCCCAATACGTAAGCTCAGTACCTAGCATATAGCTAGGTATGTGTTGAATAATTGGATGGATGGATGGATGGATGGATGGATGGATGAATGGATGAATGGACAGAAGGATGGAATTCTTGCCATCATATACTTTGGGGAGTTATGAAATGCAGGGCTTAAGAAAATCATGGCCATCCTGATTATAATGGCTGTTTGGTATAAACATTTGCAAATGTGTTATGAAATGATAACTACTGAGAAACATTGGAATAACCATTTAAATTCTAACCCATTGCCCATCATTTATCTCATCATTGTCATCTTGTTCGGTTATTCTAACTTGAGGTGAGCTGCCCTCTTCAAGAGGGTGCGATTTTTTAGTCATCCACGTAACAAGGCACATTTTGGGCTGAGAGGGAAGGAAAGGAAGGCAAATGCTGTGGCTGCCTCAAGAGCTGTGACAGGGGTCTCCAAGTCCCCTTTGGGAGAACATGGGACAGGAGGTGGCCTGTCTTAATAATGACAACTGCCGTTTACTGTAAGAGCATTTACTCTGAGCTAGACTCTTCACTCACATAAGCTCACTTAATTCCCCCGACAACTCTGTGAGGAAGATTGTACCATTATTATCAATTTCATCTTATGGACAGGAAACTGAGGCTCAGAGAGGTTAAACAACTTGGCCAAGCTCATGCAGACAGGAGTGGATAGATCAAGGATTTGAACCCCCCCTCCCCCAGCCTGGGGCCACACTGACTGTTTAAAACTCATCTTGTGGCAGGGCACGGTGGTTTGCATCTGTAATCCCAGCACTTTGGGAGGCCAAGGCAGGCAGATCACCGGAAGTCAGGAGTTCGAGACCAGCCTGGCCAACATGGTGAAACCCTAGCTCTACTAAAAATACAAAAATTATCCAGGCATGGTGGCACACACCTGTAATACTGACTATTCAGGAGGCTGAGACAGGAGAATCACTTGAACCCAGGAGGTGGAGGTTGCAGGGAGCTGAGGTCATGCCACTGCACTCCAGCCCAGGCGACAGAGCAAGACTCCTTCTCAAAAATAATAATTATTATTATTATCTTGTTTCTTTATAGTGACTCCATAG